CCCCACCCTCCTCTCCCTCTCCCTCCTCCCATCCTTATCCGGAACTCATCGGCTCTCTCATGTACGCCATGGTTTCCACTCGCCCCGATCTTGCCTACCCCATCAGCGTCCTCGCTCGGTTCGTTGGCGCTGGCAAGCACACGGAAGAGCACTGGCAGGCCGCCAAGCGTGTCCTTCGCTACATTCGTGGCACCAAGGACTATGTCCTCACTCTTGGCGGCCCTTCCCCACCACACCTCAACGGCTACAGCGACTCTTCCTGGGCTGATTCTCGACCGGATCGGCGGTCCTCTCAGGGCTATGGCTTCTCCCTCGGCAGCGGTCTCATCAGCTGGCGGTCCACACGCTCCTCTGCCGTCGCCCTCTCCTCCTGCGAAGCAGAGCTCTATGCTGCGACCATGGCCGCGCAAGAAGCACGCTGGCTCACCTTCCTCCTTGATGAGCTCGGAGCCCCCCAACGCTGTCCCACCATCTGGTGTGACAACGCCAGCACCATCCACCTCACCAAGGACGCTGTGTATCATGGGCGCTCAAAACATATTGAGCTTCGCTACTTCTTCATTCGCGATCTCGTTGAGGCCGGCCACATTCGTCTTGGCAAAATCGACTCGGCAGCCAACCTCGCCGACATCTTCACCAAAGCTCTTCCCCTAGCGTCCCACTCCTTCCTGTTGCGTCTCCTTGGGCTCACCCCGCCACCAGTTTTGGCGGCCTCCTGATTACATTTTTTCTAGCCTTATGCATGTTGGGGGGTTGTGTTGTAAATGTATCTTATATATACAACATACATAGGCTAGAATAGGTGTAGCTCTTTAAGCCATTGGGGGGTTGGGTGTACACTCCAACCACACTTTGTGGTTGGGTCAAGATTTGGTTTGGTCTTGGTCCTTGGTTGGCACTTGCCAACATTTGGTCCTAAGGCCAACCAATCACAAGCTAGCAACATTGTGGGGTTCCCTACTCCACAAGGCAACTCACCCATTGGCCAACTTAGTGGCCAATAGGGTTGCACCTTCTTCCAACCTCTCTTCCTTGCATGCTTGTACTATAGAGCCTCCTTGGCTCATTACTCAACCATTCTCTTGAATTCTATCACGGCGAACACCTTAAGCAAAAACAGGTGTTCGCCGTTCGCCTATGAAGGCGTGTTCGGGCGAACCTCGAACACGTTCGTGTTCGTCTAGGGGCAAATTGCAGCAGCGGCCCGAACACGAACGTGTTCGAGCGAACATCGAACACTGTTCGGCGAACGATTTAAGCCAAAAAAAATAACCTGTTCGGTTCGCCTCGAACACGTTCGTCTTTTTGCTCATCCCTATATATCAGCTTCCGGAACAAAAAAAAACAAAAAAAAAAAAAAAAAAAATCTCAAACTTTTCTTCACAGCTTGTGTTCGTATCCTTAACAGTAAAGTGCCATCATGACTGGTCCTCACCCCACCTGCTCCTCCCACTGCATCTCACAACCACAACCGCCCTGTCCCAGATATATTTTCAACACAAACTTGACCGGCTCGCTGCCAGCCTCCCTTGGTGCTCTTTCCGATCTCATTCGCATGTTGGTCCCCTGCACTGCATCATACGCCGCATGCTTGGGGTGTTTTGTTGTTTGTTGGTTTCTTTGTATTTTCGTGGGCAGCTCAGAGTGCAGCTCCGTTGCCACAACACTCCAAACACCCACCTCTCTTTACTCCCCTACCCACCGCCTTGCTCTTTTCAGATTAACCCCTGCAGGCGTGACATGCGGCAGGGCTGGCAGCAGCTGTGAGATTCAGCAGAACACCTCCTCCTTCTTCTGCCGGGCTCTCTGCTTTGACTTCTGTGCCTCCTGCATCCCACTCAACAGTAAACAAAAATCCTTCTTTTTGTTTTTCTTTCATCTCCTTGCATTGCTTGTGTCATAGTTCACATGGGGTTGCACCTCATGTTCCTTCGTGCAAGTGATATCCTACTGCCATCATGCCATCTAATGGTCACCATGCCATCTCACATACATCATGCCACCTCACATGCATCCTGCCAACTTATGGTCGTGTTGGCATCACAGCTATCCAGCACAACAGCTGCTCTCCCCTTCCATCCATCCACTCCCCTCTTCCTTTCCCACAGGCCAACTCCGCCACCCTCCTCCCCCTCCTCCACTCACTCCGCCTCTCTCTCCCAACCTCGCTCTCATGACCTCCCCGCCTCCTCCTCTCTCCTCTCTTATTGCTGCCTCCTCTCCGCTCACCCCTCCTCCTGCTCCACCACCCTCCACCGGTTTGCCAACCTCTGCGATTGTGGGAATATCCGTGGGGGCGTTGTTTCTTCTTGTGGTTGCTGCTGGTGCCGCTGCTGTCGTGGCTGCTGGGTGTATGAAACCGGAAGACCAGGGATCGAAAGTACAGCCACTAGCTGCCTCAGGTGAGAGCAAGTTTAGTAGTGTGCCCGAGGCATGTCTGTGCCATGTCTGAAGCATGCATTCTTTCTGTTCGTGTGTTGGCTCAGCCATGCAATGCAAGGTCGTTGTCTGGTGTGGTGGCCATTCCTTCTGCTATCTCCCTGTACTGTCTGTGACTTTTTTCTCCTCATCTCCCATCATCTGCTTTACTAAGGAGAAACACCGCTGCAGCCACTGCTGCCACACCTACTGCTGCTGCTGCTGCTGCTGCTGCTGCTGCTGCTGCTGCTGCTGCTGCTGCTGCTGCTGCTGCTGCTGCTGCTGCTGCTGCTGCTGCTGCTGCTGCTGCTGCTGCTGCTGCTGCTGCTGCTGCTCCCACTGCTGTTGCTGCTCCTCCCACTGCTCCTGCTGCGACCATCCCAGTGTCTTCCGCTGTTTACGGTGTCAACACAGTTCCTTGTTCGGTGCCTGCCACTGCGGTTACCTTCCTCCCACACACTGCTGCCCTTACAGCCACTGCCACAAGCCACCGTCATCGTTTTCACTCTTGCCAGCCTTTCCCACCTCTCACCATCCACCATCAACTTCTCTACTCGCTTTCCCTCCTTCCCTGACCCCCCTCACTCCTCTCCCCTCTCTCCCCCTCTCCTCCCTCCACTTCAGCATCTCGTGTCTTGGGTCGTTCCCGCTGTCCCAAATTCCCCATGTCTCTCGTGGCACAAGCAACAGGTGGGTGGAGTGAGATTAACAGGGTGGACACGCACAGGTGGAGCAGCAGCATCAGCGCCGGCACCAGCAGCAGCAGCGCCGGCACCAGCAGCAGCAGCAGCAGCAGCAGCAGCAGTGGCGGTACCACCAGAAGCAGCAGCAGCAGCAGCAGCAGCAGAAGCAATGGAGGGCAGAGGTACAAGGCAGTGAGTCCTGTGGATGCGCGGCAGGTGTGGTTCGTTGTGAGGCGCGGCCATGAGGAGCTTTCCACACACTTCCAGAAAGAGGTGCGGGAGAGGCTTCTGGACTGTTCTTCTCTGCTTCTGCTGCTGCTGCTGCTGCTGCTGCTGCTGCCGCCGCCGCCGCCGCTGCCGCCGCCGCCGCCGCCGCCGCCGCCGCCGCTGCTGCTGCTGCTGCTGCTGCTGCTCCTCTGCTGCTGTTGCTTCTGTGGCTGCTGCTGCTTTGGCGGCGGCAGGCCGTTCTGTGCTTCTTCTAACTTGCCCCTCTATCTCCCCCTCCCTGCGGGTGCTCACCCTCGTCCTTGTGGGTTGTGGGCATTTCCTTGTTGTATCGCTCCCTACTTGTGGGTGCGTCCTTGCCTGCGCAGGTGGCCACGCTTTGGTCCATCCGCCATACCAACCTGCAGCGACTGCTGGGGTACTGCTGGGAGAAGCGTGACACTGCCCTTCACCATGACTCACCTGCTGCTGGTCCTGCCGCTGCTGCTGATGCTGTTGGGGCTGGTTCTGGTGCCAGTGGTGCCGATAGCACTAAGGGTGTGGATGCTATTTATTCTAAAAGCGCTAATGCTGATGCTGCTGCTTCCGCCGGCGATGCGGTGGAGCAAGCAGAGGAGCAGGTGCTGGTGTTTGAGTGGGTGCCAGGAGGCAACCTGCACAACCGCCTTGTTGCAAGTACCGCTACGCCTGTCCCCCCTTTCAATCTACTCCACTCTGGCCCTCTCCCATCTCTACCTCTCCTTGCTACTTCAGTGCTTGCTTATTGCGCTCTATCCTCTTACGGTGCTTGTCGGGTCCATGTTACCACTCATTCCCCACCACACCACACCACTCTCGTTGCTCCATGCTTTCCAACGTTGTTTTCACATCATTCCCACCACACAAGTATCGAGAAGATTCTCGCAAGGCTCTTGTAAAGAATTCCCACAACGCCGTTCCTGTATAGTCAGCAAATGCCATCTCGCACTGTTCCCCTTTGTCCGTTCCCCTTGTCCCTACTGTCCCCTCTCCGCCCAACTCTCAACCCCTCTCCCTCTTCTCCCCACTGCCCTCCTCCTCTTCCTCTGCTCCCCTACACTCCCTTCTGCTCACCTCCTTTCCATGCAGAGGGCTGTGCGCCCCTGTCCGCATGGCAGTGTCTGGATGTGACAGGCGGTGTGCTGCAGGGGCTGAAGCACATTCAGAGCCATGGGGTCGTGCATGGCCGCATACACCCACGCAACATCCTGCTTGACTCTGCCATGCAGGTGAACTGCCATCTGCCATGCAGGTGAACTGCCATCTGCCATGCAGGTGAACTGCCATCTGCCCTGCAGGTGAATTGACATACATGGGTGCAGTGTCACTCACACTGTTTTTCTCTAAACTCCCGAATCCATCCTCGTCACCCCATCAACCCTCAGCTACGTCTCCCCCTTAACCCCTTCGCCCTGCGCTCACGCTGTTTCTTGCCCCTCGCCTCCCCACTACTCCATGCCCATGCCTGCCCTCAGCCTGTCTTGGCTGGTTGTATGGCTGTGAAAATGGGCGACCCCCTGCCATCCATCCCCACAACACCAGCAGTAGAAGCTCCAGAATCAACATCATCACCTGTGCCAGCGCCATCAGGAGTGGCATCCGCAGGGAGGGTGGCAAGGCCACCTGCCACCCACCCGTACATGGACCCAATCCTGCATGCCTCTGCTCTCACCACGCCCTCCACAGATGTTTTCAGGTCCGTGCTGCTCAGCTCACGACCAATGTTTTGAAAGCCCACGATCCTGTAACTCACTCAAACAAGTCGTTGCACGACTCACCTCTTACAACCTGCTCTACTGACGCACCTCTATGTTTTAGGCGTCTTAAAGATGTACCGTACCTCTACCTTTCTCCTGCTTCCTGCCCCCTCTCCGCACCTCTTTCCTACACCCCACACAGTGCAGTGCGAGGAACCTCATGCTGCGAATCGGTTCATTCTGCCTCTGATTGCATGTGCTTGCTCCGTCACTAACAATCAACGGAGCTGATTGACCAACCGAACGCCTCACCCTTCTCTCCTCCCGCCCATGCTTTCTTCTCAACTCTCCCCCATCCCCCCATGCCCACCTGCCAGCATTGGTGTGGTGATGCTGCAGCTCATCACCGGCCGGCCCGCACTCATACCCACAGCTGCAAGCAACTCCGATCAGCAAGGCAACAGCTCTGGCAGCGGGGGTGGTGGCAGTAGCAGCTCTGGCAGCATGGGTGGTGGCAGTAGCAGAAGTATGAGCAGCGGTTGTAGCGGCAGCAGCCCAGTGCACATTCGGGATTGGGTGAGTGCGGTGTGTGGGGGGCTCCCAGGGTTGTAGTTTCAGTGCAAAGCTGCTGCGGGAAGGTGATCTCGTACATGCGCGGACACTGCACAGAGACTCCACGCGAGCTTTCATCTCTCTAAGGGTCCTTATGATTGAATCGTATAAAGGATTCAGAATCAACGGGTAAGTAAGGCAAAGCTATTGCTATGCAAGGGAAAGCAACAGGTGGGCCAGGCAAGGCAGGTAAGGCGCCACAAATTACGTTCAACCCACTACACCAGGCAGGTAAGGAAATGAACTGTGGTAGCGATCAGGTATGGCAAGCAGGTACCTCTCGGCTAAGCACAAGCGTCTGTGCGACTGGTGGTGTTTAGGCTGTCTTGGGTTCTCAGGAGGTACGTACTGCGTTGGCAAGTGGCCTCTCTGTCGCACCAGAGGGGCAGGGCAATGCTGCTGCTGATAGCCGTTGGGAGAGGTATACGTGTATGTGGTCACTTAAGCCTCCTGAACAGAAAGGAGGTCTTGAAGCCTATGGGCCAAGGGTCAGCCAGTGTTCAAAGTAGGTATGAGCACGGTGCCGAACTGGACCGGTTCGAAAGAAACGCTTCAGAACTGGGGCGGTTCGGTTGCGAGGCGCACGAACCGTAGCCGATGCGTGATTCGTCAGCATTGCTTAAAGAACCAAAAGGTTCGGTCGAACTGGGCCGGTTCGATGTCATTTAGAAAAGAGGACCCTGAAAATCCTCGATATGGCTAGTCACAAAAAGCTCCAATCATTTTTATTCCCCCCTTGACTTCTATTTTGCACAACCTGGGTCACTCGTCGCGGCTCGAGAACTCGTTGAAAATGTGCTGAACGAACCGCCAAACCAGTTTGGTGTATAACCAGAATCAAAGAAACTGGTTCAGTTCGGGCCAAACCGAACCGAACCCGTCAACCTAACCATGGCACGGCACCTTGCTCATGCCTACTGTTCGAGATTAAGAGGCGTCCACCACTATAACTGCTTTGGCAAGAGGGTGTTAGCTTGGCTCCGTTGAGTGTGTTCCCTCTCTCTTTTCGTGCCACTGCACAATACACGTGACTAACACGCACCCACCACGCCATGCCACACCACACCACATCATAACACTGGTGTTCGCCTCAATGCACTCATGCATCCGTCTCCCTCCTTTCATTCCTCCCGCTCCCAACCACACACATCGACAATAATCCCATTTCTTTCCAGGCACAGCACCTGGTATCGCACAGCATCACGGCCAACCTGCGAGCGGCCCACCTGCCGTGGGCACCCGACGCCATCGTGCTGCCCATGGTGCGCCTCGCCCTCTCCTGCACCGCCTCAGACCCCCTCTCCCGCCCCACCGACCTGCTCCGCTCCATCAAGGCTCTCAAGCGCTCCCTCTCCGCGTACCCGCACCCACCTCTGCCCGGCCATGCAGGCACAAGCAGGGATGGTGACGTGCCCAATGCTGCAGGCAATGGGGGGGCTGGAGAGAAGCAGGGAAGGGAGGATGGGGATGGGGTTTTGGGGGGTTTCAGTCAGAATGCACTAGACTGGCTGCTAGAGGAAGAGGATAGTGGTAGGTTTGTGACGGATATGTAAAATGTAAGTGGGCCCTGATTAAATATTTCACCCTAAACCGCAAGACCTTCCCTGCCCATCCACCTCATACCGGTAGTAGGTAGCGGACTGGGTTTGACGATCGCAAGATGGGTTCAACTAGGAAGGCCTAGAAATTGTTACACCCCCCATGGGCCAAGTGACGGGCATAAAAAAGTGCCAGGGAAACAAATGATCACTTGACCAGACAACAACAATGAAGCAAGAGATGCAGCTCAGGGCGTTACGAGTAGCCACCAACGCCAAATGGCCACTACGCCAGTTTAAGAGTTCAAATAAGTAACAAACAAGCAGAGTGAGAAGCAAAAGGCGGGTCTACAACAAACGAGACACAGACTGAACAAGGATACCAGTAAGTTGCGAATAAAACATATGGTGGTCACCACACGGCACTCCCGTAATAGGAAATATCGCAACTCATTGTGCTTCACCCCAAGTCTCTAATATCCAGTCGAGGCTCTCTACACAAGAGGACTACGACATTGTTGTCAGCGAACAAGATTGGTGGAGAACAGGCAGCTGACCTAAGTCAGTGAGTAAGAAATCCAACCAGCGAAGCTACTGAGCTACCATGGCACCTGTGTGTCAGAATGTGATGTTTGTCTAGCCTGCAGTGGGGTACTCTATAGCGAGTACAGCCCAAATTAGGGTTTGCTATATGTACTCAACTGCCTGCTAGTGCAACCCTCTTTTGCATGTTCTCTCTTGCCTAGCTACCTAAACCCTAGCTATGGCTCCTAAGCCTACTGCTCTCTAGCTTGTTTCAACACGGTATTAGAGCCTTAGCGCTCCCGGCCAGTGGGCCCACATGCTTCCGCTGCTGCTGTACTGTCTGTTGCGCACCCCGTGGCGCGCGACGTTTTTTCTTCCCGCCACGCGCTCGGGGCGCATGGCGGTTTTCTGCCCGCCGCGCGCTCCGAGTGCGCAGCGGTTTTCTGCCCGCCGTGCGCCCCGAGGCGCGCGGCGGTTTCCCATCGTCATGGCGCCCCCGGGGACCCGCGGGCTCTCCCCCCGTCGTCCGTCGTAGCGCCTTGGGGGACCCGCGGGCTCCCCCCGTCGTTCGTCGCGGCGCCCTAGGGGACCCGCGGGCTCCCCCCGTCGTTCGTCGCGGCGCCCTCGGGACCCGCGCGCAGCCCCCCGTCGTCCGTCACGGCACCCTCGGGGACCCGCGCCCTCCCCCCTCGTCCGTCGTGGCGCCCCCGGGGAATCGCGCACGGCCCCCCCGCCGCCCGTCGTGGCGCCCCGTCGACCCGCGCGCCCGCGCCGCCCCCGGGGACCTCCTCGCCCGCCCCCGTTGACCCGCGCGCTGCCCCTTGCACCCGCGTGCAGCCTCCTCTCCCCCCCCCCTTCTTCTTCGCCTCCCTGCTGTGCGTGCAGCCGTGGGGTGGCTAGTATGGGGGTGGCGGGTGTGTGAGCCGTCCCCTGCTCCTCCTCCTCCTCTGTCTCCCACTGCTGCAGCTGCCGCTGAGGGGGGTGGATGTGTGGGAGCCGTCGGAGTGGTACTAGGGGGTTGGCATATGAGCAGTGCTAGGGGTGTGAAAGGGGTGAGGGACAGCTGGGGGAGGTTGAGGGACAGCTGGGGTCTTGTCGTCCGCAGCGCCTGTAGTCCGGATGCCATTGAGTGTAGTCTGGTAGCCCAGAGAGCTTGCTGAGTCTGTCGCCCGTGGGTCTGTTGCTCCTGCAGCTGAGCGCGGAGCCAGTTACTCATGTAGTCCGGGGCTCTGCGTCTGGTAGCCACAGTCTGCGCGAAACTGTTGCCCGTGTGTCTGCAGCTTCAGCCGTTGCCTCCCATCTTCTCGCCCCCACAGTTTCTCCTCCTCCTCACTTGCCCTCTGTGATAGCCTCTAGCTTTGCTTATCATTGTGAACTATTGCTCTGCTTGCTCATTGTGCTGATTACACCCCACTTTGGCTATGGGGGTGTGTCAGAATGTGATATTTGTCTAGCCTGCAGTGGGGTACTCTATAGCAAGTACAGCCCTTGTTAGGGTTTGCTATATGTACTCAACTGCCTGCTAGTGCAACCCTCTTTTGCCTGTTCTCTCTTTCCTAGCTACCTAAACCCTAGCTATGGCTCCTAAGCCTACTGCTCTCTAGATTGTTTCAACACTGTGCAGGTCTCGGCCTCAGCACAGGACCGTGCGACAGACGATGCTCATGTCTACTGCTAAGTAGCTCTCTCTATACCTACGAGTATCCTCATTGTGTTCCAAGGATGAGTCGCTAGGTCACGCTGGCAAGGTCCCTCCAAACACAAGCCCCATGCCTGATGTGTGGTCATGTACTTCGCTACCATCTTAGCAACCGCCAGTGAGCTTGACGGTGTCTTCCAGTCACAACGAGCAGGCACGAACGCCGAAAGGATAAGCGAGGTTCGGCCGTGTACATGTTACCAAGTATATGAGGCGGCCCACAAGCTCTCTTAGTAGCTGCAAAGTAGGCTTAACCGGCTCTTTGGAAACAGATGAAGTGTGCATGTGGTCAACAGCTGAGAAGTGGGTTGTGTGGTGGAGGACTGGAAGCCGAACCACTGAAGGACGTGCTGCTCCACGTCTGTCTGAATTAGTGTGATGGTGCGAGCAGCTCTATACCTAGTAATCTGCAAGACAAGGTAGTTGTGCAGTTCACCAAGGTCAGTGCAGGTGTCCCTATTCAGCAATTCAGACTTCCCCCCAGCTAGATCAAGTAGAGCATCATGGTCTCCCTTAGAAGTTGGCGGCATGACATAGAATTGGGGAGCACGGGCTGCAGGGAACCCGAGCTCAAACTACATATCCTCTGTGACATCATATCCAAGAGCAAACCCACCCCTGGCAGACAGAGGACGGGTAGGACGAACAGCCACAAAGAAGGTGGCATAGTCAAGGTGACGGGTGGAGGCAAAGTGAGTGAGAAACGATGGAGAGGCACTAGGGCCAATACACGAGAGGTGACAAGGCTAGAGATGATAAAGAGAGCAGTAAGGAAGTAGTCAAAAAGAGGAAAGGAAGAAAAGGTGAGAGACGACAAAAGAGGAGATGGAATGACAGGGGGAGGCGGTGCATGAGGAGGGCAAGAACAATGAACCAAGTGTTAACGGAAATGGAGTGTTGGCCTCGCCCTCGCTTGGGCGACGCCGACGTCCTGGTGGGATGCGCGGGAGAAGCAGCCGACCGTTTCTGTGAGGGAGCTGCTCGACAGGCTTCATCAAGCTGCAGGGGATCACTGTGGTGTTGCCGTCGATTTGGGGTGCTCGAAGGCCTTCTTCTGCGGGGCAGTTCGACAAGTTGGTGGTCGACCTGCACAGGCTTATAGCGGAGCTGGTGGTCGACCAGGGCAGCTCGACAGCTGCAGCTGACCAAGTTGGTCGACGGGTGGGCCATCAATCAAGAGGAGCAGCTCGATCGGGAGGTCGACGGAGGAGTGGTCGATCTGACATGTCACGGTGGTCGACGAGGGGAGCTCGGAGGGGTCCGTCGACCAGGGTGCTACTCGACGGGAGCTATGGTCGACCAGAGGCACTGGGTGGTCGACTAGAGCTCTTGGTGATCAACCAGAGGCACTTGGTGGTCGACTAGAGGGATTTGGTGGTCGACCAGAGGCACCTGGTGGTGGACAAGAGCACCTGGCGGTCGACTAGATCACCTGGTAGTCGAACAGAGACACCTGGTGGTGTCCAGGTCGACTAGGTAACCAGCTCAACGAGTTCTGCGGAGGCACGCGAACGTCGTCGAGGTCGCGATGACGAAGGCGACTTCGGGCTGGTATCCCGAAGTCGATGTGGCTCGTCAGGCGCAGACAACAGCCGACGGATGCACAACGATGCAAGTCGGGCCAATCGTCTGCGCGCACCTGCGTACATGCGTACTGCTGTCTTCTACGGGTGCAACGCTGGACAGCCGCTCTGCTGCAGCGTTGGGACGCCGCCAACCTGCTGCATTGGTAGTTCGCCTTTCCACCGTGCTGGCTCGGCTCCTCTACGCAACGCTGGCAGGCGGTCGACCATGCTGTGCTGGTAGTCGATCAGGCTAGCTGCAGAGTTTCTAGGTGCTTGATGTAGTCATTGTTGTCATTGCTTGTTCAATCATTCTGCAATTCGAACTTTGCTGGTGGAAACTCTTGCCGACAACTCCCCTGAATGTGTAAGCGCTAAGAAACTAGGTAAAGCTACGGTCACTCCTAGTAGTTCGACGGACACCTCGACGACGACATTCCCACTGCTCACCAAGGTCGGCGAGCCTGCTGATGAGGACGTCGAGGAAGTTCTCCCTCCTCCCCCTGTTCTTGCTCCTCCCACCCCGTCGCAGATCGGCCTGCGTTGACACCTGTGTCGGCCACCGGCGATGAGGGGAGCCTTGAGGCGTCGCCTGTGGCGCCGGCCAGTGGCATCGCATGCGGTCCACAAGGCGCCAAGCACCTCGACCAGGACCGAAAGCCGTCGACGACAGGGGAGCAGCAGACAGGGGAGCCGGTCGAACAGGAGGTAGGAGCAGAGGTGCAGTCGATAGGGGAGCAGCCAAGTCGGTCGACAGGGGAGCTGTCGATGTCAGCAAGAGGTAAGCAGCTGGTTGAAGGGTCGAAGCAGCTGGTAGACGAGGAGGACGTCGACAAGGAAGGGGAACGGCCAGTAGAAGAAGAGTCCACTGACAGTGACATGGTGGAGGTTCCGGTTGAGAAGCCTCAGCTGCGACGCACAGGTCGAACTCAGAAGCCGCCGGAGTGGCTAGTCTTCCACGCCTACTTGCCACCACGGTGTACAATGAAGTCGACGGCGACCTGTTGTACGACGACGCCGAGGAGGATGAAGAACTGCCGGAGCTTGACCTTGACGTGCATTCCGACCCCAAACGCCCTAGGACATCGCCACGATGACGGTGAAGGAGGCGTTGGCGAGCTGGAAGGGCGAGGCGGTGAAGGCCGCCATGGAAGAGGAGATCCGCAGCCTTATCGGCATGAGCACTTAGGAGGTGGTGGAACGCCCATACAGGGTAAACATCGTGAAGA